TTTGAGAATTCGTTTCTCAAGGGTGTTACATATTTTCTTCCATGAACAAAATGTAGTTTTGCATGGAAGAAAACCCTCAACACCATTGAGAAAAAAATATCAAAAATCAACGCAATTTTAACGACGTGAAACTTGCACTTTGTAGCTCTGAAATTGAATGAGCTTCAAAACTACGTACTCAATTTTTTTTCAAAAAATCTAAATCAAAAGTTTGAAATATACATAGATGAAAATTTGTAGAATTTTTTAAGTTGAAAATTTAATTCGTATGGTTTTTGTTATAACATGAACTATATTTTTGTGAATAATTACCGAAAAACAATCGCTGTACGAATAACTATTTTGAATATGAATGCAGTTACATGCATACATATGTAGGTTTTTTTTTTTATATAAGGAGAAAGCATCGAAAGCCTGTACCCTGTAGTGTGGAACTTTAATCCGAAATAAAACTCTATGTATGTCCACTGTACCGTATCCCCCCGGTACCACCGTAAAGTATTTCAGTATTTTGGAGGGCGGTTGAGCCTAAGCTCGATCGTATGTTCCTGTTCTGATGCAGGTAGATATGTAAGTATATATGTCTATTAAGTTTATAACAAAGAACTTTAATAAGTTAAATAACACTGATAAATTTATGAATTTCAGCATTTCACTTAATATTACTTCCAAAATTATTTGCGCAAGTGCTACGTAAAAATATTTGTTATCTAGAGGCGAGCCTACCAATATTTTTCAGAAAGAACGTAAAAAGATTTTAATGAACGCAGTGTATATGTATGTACATATTTTGCCATCGAGCACACCTAAAATAAATATGAAAAGTTAACTCTGACCATGACCAATTTAAAAGTGAATATCAGCTGTTTATGGAAATATTTTTCGTTTGCAATACTTTGAGTAGCAGACTGCCAAATGAATGGGTTGCAAATTTCAAGCATTTCAAAACTAATTTCAATCAAACAATTTTGTAGTACAGAGTAATTGTTTTTTTTTTTTTTAATGTAGAATAAAGGCATCCGTGTTCGAATCAAATTCGAATCGAAATTTCTTTTTGGATTACGGCATTTGGTGGCGAGTTCGCCTTTTCAGCTTAAAATATATTTAAGACAAACGGCTGTAATTTTATTTCATTCGATTCGAATCGTGTTTCATTCGATCACGTATGCCATGATTCGGGCCCAGTTTTAGTTTTCTCTTCAATGTTTTATTTGCGTAAAATACATTTTTTGTTGTATTATAAAAAAATACAATTTATTCCAAGGTGAATTCATATAAGGTGATACCAGAAGTTCAAAAACAAAACGGCCACTAACAAATTTTACGCGTAATTACAATAAGAATTTCAACAAATACATCATATTGACAAAAACAATATCCAAGGCGAAAATCCAGCTACTCTGATAACACTACCTTACCTGAATTCGCCTTCATTTATTCTATATGAGTAAAAACTATCTAATATTTTTTAAAAAATCTACCAACTTCTACCAATTTTTGTATGTAAAATCTACCAATTTTAATTTTTTTTAAGTCCGTGCACTGGACATGGCTTCCTTAAAATGAGTAAACGATTTGGCTCAGTTTAAGGAAAACAAATTAATTGCGTTTGTTTACTCATTTCCACTAAAATGCAGTAAAAGATTTTACGAAAGTAGGGGAAATTGAGAGAGCGAAAAAGACAGTTGAAGTTTCAAGTTTTTACTGGATTTTACTGGATAAATTTTTACTTGTAAGAATTTGCCAGTACGAAAAACAGCTGATCGCAGGTTGCTGGATGAAATTTAAACTAATAAGGAAACTGTTTGTGGGTTTTTATTGTTGAAATTCACAAACTAAACCTATTTAAATATAAAATTTATTGTTTTATTAGGAAATGCCTGCGAATAAAGAACCAATTTATCAGCTGTTCATGAAACTTGCAAATTATTACTGGAATAGCGTTCGCGTACTTTTTTGTAAATTTTGTCTATGAGAGCGAATTCTTAGAAATAAAGTTACTGGAGAGTTTCTGGCAAGTTACTGGGTAATTTGTAAACAAACACAACTATTTCCTTAGTTTTTAGGAAAAATTTACTTGCCATTTCATCTCCCGTGAAAGGAAAAAGTACGTAATTTTGCTCGTGGCGCTCAAACAGTGACAATGGCCGACAGGGCAAAACTCTGGAGTGCTAGTCGAGGGATGCAAGGTTCGAGTCCCAAAACAGGAAATTTTTATTTATTTTTTTTTATTTTGTTAATTGTAATTTTTTAAATTATATTAAAAAAAATATAATTTATTTTTTATGGTATTTGAGTATTTAGGTTTTTCCATATATTAATTTTACAATTTGTAATTTATATTTAAATTGAAATAATTGACTTACTTTACTCTAACTACCTCCAACGGGACTCGAACGTGCGATCTCAGAACCAGAAGCAGTAGTCTTCACGCGACGGCACAGCCGACATTTGCCAGCACTGACAAAATTCAAAATTATTTAAGGACACTATTACTTATATTGAGAAAAGTATTACTTATATTGAGTAAATTTACTTCCTCAAACAAATGACGCCCTATTTTTAGCATGAACCTGAATTAAGGAAAAACTTCTCATATTGAGTAAATTTTTCGTAACATTAAGGAAATCACAGTAACTCTAAAATAAGGATACTGTTTTCTTGTTTTAACGAAATGCTTCTTTTTGAGTGTACTTCTTTACTTGTTTAAAATTGAGTTTGGCTGTTATTTCTTCTTGGCATAGATTTTTTATTTAATTTTTAGAGACATTTACGTTGGTGACAAGGACTTTTTGCTTGATACCTAGTAAAATTTTCTGAAGAATAATTATCTAAAAAATATAAATCCTCTAATGAATTTCTAAATTTGCTTTTTGATGAGTTTCTTTAAGTAAGGGTCAAAACAACCCTTTCAACAATTTTTTCCACTTTTTTGAAAACAGCTTAGGCCGAGGCATGGAAACTTTAGCAGGCCATACAAGAAAGATACGAGCTAACTTCTGCAAATTCATTGAGTGTTTTATTACTGAACACATATACTTTCAGAATTTATTAGCAAATTCCGGTCTGGTTTGAATTGCCATAAAATTGTGGCACATAATACATTTTTAGCCTTATTATGATTACACTGTGCGACACGAAAAACTACCTGGGAAGTCATGTATATTTTCTATGAATAATAATGAATATGAAATTTTCCAAACACCCCCAAAATCTTGATTTTCCGTTAAAACCGGGTTTTCGTACTTTGCGCCCTTATAAGCCTGTAACTTAGTTGATTATTAACCGAGTTTCAGTTTATTGCCGGGTTTAAAAAGAAGGGCCTTTCGAACGATCTATATGTGAATAAAGAAACTTTAAGAGACCTTTTTTTTATTTTTTTCGCAATTTTTTTACTTTTAAATTACAACTCAAAAATTTTTGCTTGGCCGTTTGTTTTTTTTTTATTGACATTTTCTATGATCGCAAAGTATGGCCATCCCGAGAGCCTCATTAAATAGGTCGGGAAAACGTTTTAAATGTCCCATTGGCTAAAGCTGAAAATTTTATCATACCACTATTGCATTTAAAGCTAGGATATATTAAACTAAAGGCCTTGCACGGTGAACGGATTGCACGATTTGCAAAGATGTCCCATAGGAAACCCGCTTTTTTTCGTGCAGTCCATGCACCGTGCAAGGTATTTGCAAGACTCCGAGAATACCCCTATAACTATAAATAAAAACGTTTTTTGTCATCTCAAAGTGGTGATCCCAAAATTAAGTGAAGCCAAAATAAAAGGAGGTATTAATTTTTTATTCTCTCATCTAGTACTTTTTCATCGGTTGTATCTATGTTAATGAATTTTAGGTATTTTCATAGGATCTAAAATTCGTTAAATTATGAGCAACGTGAGCTTTTTGAACAAGCTAAGCTCTGTAGAAAGACGTGCATGGAATTGTTTTGTAGCGCTATGCAATAATTTCTTTGGAAACCACAGAAGCGACGAAAAACGTTTCGGAGGAAAAAATAAAAATGATTTCAGAATATTGCTGGTCACTACAACGAGAAACTGATGATGCTGAATTAAGAAAAAAACGGTCAAGAAAACATGTTTGAGTAGTATAGTCAAAAATAATATTTTTTCAAAAATCTTGTTTTCATAAAAAGTTTAAAAACTCATTAAACTTTCATCCGATTTTTGAAAATAAACACTAGCTTTACTCGGTATTAACTTTAGTTTTACAATCAATTTAGGACTAGTATGGTTTTGTTATAAAATAGTGCGTAGGGCGAAAAAAGGAAAAAAAATGCGTTTGCTGGGTAAATACACACAGATATCTAAAGGTTTCTTTATTCACATATATATCGTGCGAAAGGCCCAAGTTTCTGCTTTTAAGCCCGGTAATAAACTGAAACTCGGTTCATAATCAACTAAGTTACAGGGGGGTGTTTGGCAAATTTCATATTTTGATTCTGGTTTTACTCGAAAATACCTACCAGAAAATATACATAACTTCCCAGGTATTTCTGCTTTATTCTTTTTTGTAGCACTGTGTTATTAAATGAAATGCTACGCTAAAATAATATCTTTAGGTATAAACTGGTTTATTACTGTGTTTTCGCATTTTAACTATGAATTATATTTTCTCTCTCTTCAACTTTCAGTGTTTACGAACGGATAGTCTAGAAAGTATCGGTGACGTCAGCGCATCTCTAGGCAATCCGTCCTATATGCCCGTACCTAATGATGCGCCAAACTTGCTTGGTGCGCCAACGCTTCATCAGCATCCCTGCAATAACGCCAACAACAGCGGGAATGGTAGCTACGCAGGATCTCAACCACAGCAACAACTACCAAATGGTCATGCGAATGGTGGTGTCAATGTTCCTGGAAATTTGCCAACGCCCTCCAATACAAACAACAATCAAATTCATACAAACTTACATCAAGCTACTCAACATACACACGCACCGCTTCCGCCGCCGCAACAACAACAAGATATGTTGGCGAATCTCCAACACATCAAACAGGACTATGATCTGACCACACTGTAGAAATCAAGGGCGTGCGGCAGACGTTTGGGATTAGGTTTTTAACTCAGTTGCAATACATACATACATACATATGTATGTACATATAGTTCTTTTATCTCATTTTCAAAATTACAAACATTTTTATACACGGTGTTGCAAAATAAAGAAAATTGCACGAACTTTTTAAATGACCTAATATAGGGAGTAGGCTCGTCGAGTAATTCACGAAACTGCGTTTACAATTTTTCTAACACCCTCAATTCTCAACTCGTTCTTAAAAAACATTTGCGCATGACTATAAATGTTGAAAATTTTTGGAATAAACCTGAAAATTACAACAATTTTTATTATCTTTTCCACTTCAACATTTTTTATCAATATTTCAATAGAAGATAGTGTATTTTATCATGACCAGTATAACACCGTGTAATTTGTATTTAAGTTTCTGAAAGTTAATTTTTTTATGGATATGGATTGTTATTTCACTACTTAAAATATATGTACATATATTATCGCAATTCAATTATAATCGCATCTAAACTGTAATGATGTTCTCAGGTTTGATTCCATATACCTATATATACATATGTATGTACAAACAAAGATATGTACATTAGACCAGAGCTTCTTAAAGTGTGTTCCGCGGAACCCAAGGGTTTTAATTTTAGTATGAATAAGCACGGCGGTCGGTTTTAGTTGCACACAGAATGAAATGTTCTATAAACAGCTTGGCCCAGACGCAGTTATCTATTTTCAAGTATACATACATATGTACTCGTGGTTGGTATGATTACCGTACTGAGTGCCATACCTACATAAGAGCGTTGAGCTTGCGCTTACTAGCTTATTTTTTTTTACAGGTATGTGTTGTTGGCCGCTGTAGCTAAAGGGTTATATACAACTTTCTACAAGGAACGCGATGAATTGCCAAATGAAATGTGAGATGTCATAACTAGGCACTTGGTACATACACAAATCAACTGAAATCTTGGTCAAATTATTTTTCGGATAGTAGTAGTAATAGCGGTTTGGTACAAAATCCATTTACGAAGCTTTCATAGATCTCCAGAGTACTTCGACATTGAAACACACATTTTAATCTGTGTCTCCGAAAGAGTTTTGATTTACAGGTATATTCTGCCCGTTACCGAAGATTTTGTACCCGGAAAATTTTATTACCAAAAAATGTTACCAGTTCTTGTCACCGTGATTCTAGGTACGTTGGTAATCAGTTGAAATATTCAGCAATTCAGCTATGAAGAATTGTGCAGATTCTGGCATTGCATATTTCACGGGGCAATACTTTATTACCAGCTTATGAGATGGTAAGAAAATTTACCGGTTACAAGAGTACACAGAATGCGAAAAGGGTTTAAAAATTTACAGGAACTTTATTTACCGGTTACAAACTTTTTGTTACCAGTGCAGAATATTACAGGCCTATTCTGCTTGTAACCGAACAATTTGTAACAAGCAAATTTTGTTACCAACAATTGTCACCACTTCTTGTAACCGCAATTCTATTTACCTTGGTAACGTTTTAATTTATTCAGCAATTCAGCTATGGAGGTTTGTTCAAATTTTGGTGTTGCATATTTCACGGGGCAATATTTTGTTACCTGCTCATGAGATGGTAACAAAATTTACCGGTTACAAGAGTGTGGAGAATACGAAAAGGGTTTAAAAATTGACAGTAATTTTACTAACCGGTAACAAAATTTTTGTTACCAACGTAGAATAGGCCTGTTAGTGTCAAGAGTAAATATCATGAAGTTGCTATAAAAGACCATCTAAACTTTGCTTCCTTCTGTCACAACGTACTCTGTCAACAGGGTTTTCAGCTTACACTTATACAAAAACAAATTCATGTTGAAATTGGATGCTACCCCAGAAATGCGCATGCAGTTTTCAGACATTCTATCGAACTACTATTTTATACAATAATTAATAACAGTGAAACAATTTCTTTCTTCACATTAAAATTTAAAGTATGTATACTATTTCTAGTAAAAGTTTTTATTCATATTTAAATTGCACTGTAATTTGATGTGGGGTTCCATAAAACGAAAGGTGTTTAGTAAGGGTTCCATCATCTTAAAAGTTTAAGAACCCCTGCATTAGACTATCTCATGCTCAATACAAAGGAAGTGGGCATATGTATGTATATATCTATGGACATTTGACAGAACAAACTAAGTCTGTCTTTCACGGACAAACCAAATAGCATATGTCGACAAAACCCGTTTTATCGTCAAAGATAAAAATGTTATAATCAGTGTTGCCGCGGCCGATAAATCAAATTTACCAAAATCAACTTTTTTAATTAATTTGGGCTTTTCTTACCAGGCTTGGAAAATTGGTTATAAAAATAAAAAAAAAAGTAAGTAAGTAAAGGCAATCTAATAGCTCAGTTATGCATACTTAGCGTTGCTTGAGAGTTGTCACATAAGGAATCTGTTAAATGTGCTTTGCGTGTAAGCGGTTATCCAACGCATAGCACTTTACATGTAGAATTCTGTTGGATTTTGATTTTTACGTAAAAATGGTATAGTAGTGCAAAGTATGCATAACTGGGCTATAAGACTCAGTTTTGTTGTCAAAAGTAAGTATTTTATAGGCTTAATTTGAAAACTGTTACCTACGCATTCTTTCAGGCTTTCAACATACACATACTCCTATAATACATAGTTAGCTGCCCTTTCGCTACTTTTTTGAATGCATGCATGGAATCATGTTATCCATAATGTGCATGTTGATTTTGTCACGCAAATTAAGGGACGTAAACTTCTAGGTCGTCTCCGAACTACAAAAGGTTTTAACGAAAAGCGATTTCATGGCAAAAGAACCCTCGGAGGTTTGAAAATGCGACGACCGCAGATCGGGAGTTGCGTAGAGCAACATTTCCTGGAACGTTATACGGGATCCTAAAATAAAATTAAAAAATTTATTGAAATGGTAACTCATAGTTAGAAATGAATTTTTTAGGAAAATTATCCTTTTTGAATATTTTAATCAAAAGATTTAGAAAACGAAGAAAAATTTAACATTTTAACAGGCAGGAAAAAATTAATAAATTTTGCTTATATTTAAGCAAAACGGCAATACTGGTTATAATTCGGAAGAAATATTAGATTATTTTATCGCTATTCTCAACCTTTTAAATGTTTCTGTTTTCAGCAACTGAACGCTTCCATTTAAATAAAATTAACTGCTCTGACGGAAAAAAGAACTTTGCCGATATATGCAATTTAGTTTGTCCATGAAAGATAGACTTAAGCTGTTCTGTCAAATGTTCAAAGATATGTATGTACTTTGATCAATTTTGTAACTTCCGCCAAAACATTTTCTTTTTTGTACTTTTTCCAGAGGAGGAAGTATCGAAAGCCTTAACCTCGTCAGTGTGGAACTTTAATCACACTAAGCCTTCTACCGTCCTGTATCGTATCAGAAAAATATATTTCAACGGGAGCCATATATGTAAATTAGGGAAGTTAATCCCGGGATCCCGGCCTTTTTTAGGTCCCAAAAATCCCGGGATTCTTGGCATATAATCCCGGGATTTTCAGGATGGCCCTGTTGGCAATAATAGAAACTACATTTTCTTGCCCCGTATTGGCTATATTTAAATTTTTTATTAATATTTTTTTTTATAAATGTCTAGCTCATTATACATATAACACCGTGCGATAGTAAATATTACATACAAAATTCAATATATTCGAGAAACCAAGTTCTAAAAATAGTAAAATTGCTTTTTTGGTTTTTCACTCTAACGACAAACGACGAGTTTTAGCATATTGATACTCGTATTGAGAATAGTTTATACTATTCCCTAATAGATAAAAAAGTTTGACAAAAAAGATGTAGCAATTTGAAAAAAAAAACACGAATGAAAAATGACACTGAAGATGGCACAACGCCGAAACCGGTTTGTCTCCAAACCAAATTTGACAAGGTATGACGGAAAATCGTTCCACATTACATCACACTCCTACCCTGTCGGAAACACCAACAACGAAAATGAGAAAAAAAGAAAAAATACGTGTCTCCTTAAATTGCTCAAGGAATAATCCCTGTGAGTTTCATCGCAAACTTAAATTCACTTTCCCTCGGCCTGGGTGATTTGAGATGGAATGACCCATATGTATGTAAAATCCAAATTTTTTAACTCTCCCAGAGAATCAGCAAGTGTTTTCGTATGGCATCCTTATGTATATATATGTATGTATGTGTGAATTCGCCAATCTGTAACATCTTTCTTTCTTATGTACTATATAAAACTGACTAACTGTGTCTATGTATTTATGCACCTATGTATAATTATGTATATACTTATATGGATATGCATGCATGTATGTACATATTAAAATTGGCTCTTAGTAGCGGCCAATTGCAGATTCGGAATATGCAGTGAATTAGTTAAGGTATTAGTAAGGATGTGCATACATACATATGTACTTAAATAAGTTAGGCTGTACCTTGTTGTAGGTAGCCGTTTAAGGTATATTTATTTACTAATGAAGTTATAAAAGGTATTAGTATGTACATAGATAAGTATGTTATTAAGAATTACTTAAAATCCAAAGGAAAAAGGATTTAACCTCAGTGAATACGAATTAGTTCCACAATTACTACATACAATAAATAACTTTAATTATAAGTCATTTAAAATCATTACTTGGGTTGAATAAATATTACCTATGTTAGAAAGTTGTACACAAAATTATAGACAATATTAATACCAAATATATCAAATAAAATCAATACAAGATTCAGCTGCATTTTCGATTAAAATACAGAAAACTTAAAGAGGCTATGAACTTAGTGCTACGCTTTTGTATTCGTCGATTATTCGGATTTGGATTCGGGCTGGAAAGCCCGGACCACCAATAATCATGTTCTCTAAAAATTATTGATTTTTCAAAGATGAAATTGAACATTAACATTACTTAAAGCGTTCCTCCGCTCGATTTGACGGACAAGTAAAATCCTTAGGACCCTTTGGAAGATGCTGCTACTCGAAGTTATTCCTTGCTAGAGCTGCTAAACAATAGATGGCACCATCGATAGTATCGATAGTTTTAATTTTTTGGAGAAACATCGCTTGTTTTCGGGCGAGAGTAACACTGTGATATGAAGAAGGGAAAATATTTAGAATTTCACGCGTAAGATGCAATATTTATACGTTTTTTACTTATTTAAGTATGTATAGTAAGTTGATCGCAAACAAAACATTTATTTTTATGTGTTTTCAGAAAGTGAAGTTTTTTTTTGTTAAAGTTTATATCCTCACTAGACACAAATAAAGGTATGCTAGTATTTTGACGGCGAAAAAATACTCTTAAGTAAAACTTCGGCGAGGAAAGACGCGTAACCTAGTTGACGCGAAGAAAGATGCCAAAGACTGTCACCTCAGCCTCATTCCCCAATACTCTTTGAGGAATTTACATAGTGTTACAGCCGCAAACCGCGTACATCAGCTTACGCGCCTTTCTTCGCCGTCAACTTTGTTAAGAGTCTGCCTTCGCTTATTTTTCTTTGGGTTTCGACATAACTTCCACAGACATAACTTCTACCGAACGTTGACATAAGTTCCATGGAAGCTAAGTCGTGAAATTACTACCATCGATCGATTTTTGGTCCATGGAATTAAAGTCTAAAATTAGTTCCACAGATCTGATTCATGGAAGTTATGTCAAAAATAAGTTCCCTCACTGCACAAATAGATGAACTCCACTTTTAAAAAAATCTGAAATTTTTCCCACGCATATTGTCAATGTTCCAAAACCCATGACGATCTATATATGTATATGAGATTATTGTGTTTACCACATCATCCACGAAATAAAATAATGGATGGAGTAGCACAAGCGATGAATTTCAACTGTTTTACTTTATTGCAGCCAATTTTCGAATATTTTCGAAGCTACTGTTTGACTTATCAAGTTTTTTTTAAATCTTGTGCTTTACCTTTAGAAAATGTTGAATGAACTGTCGGTTTTCAGTTTAAAAATGCGCACCTCTTCGGCTTTATAAAGCTAATGCTGCATTCGGAACACGTTTTCCTATTAACGTGAAGCCACCGGCCAAGAAAAAGAAATACTCTTCGACGGGATTCTGAAATTGATAAAGCCTCCAAGTTATTGTTAGAGGACCAAAT